CCTAGTAGTCAGCCTGATTTTCACAAGTATGGACTGATTTTCCGTCGCTACGGGAACCACGACCGCTTGTGTGTGCCCAACCATGAGCCTCTCCGCACACATTTTCTGGATTTGGCCCATGGCCGGAGCGGACACTTCGGCATGGCAAAAACGTACGCAAATCTGCTGAGACAGTTTGGTTGGCCTGGCATGAAAGGGACTGCTGAAAAGTTTGTGGTTGAATGTCAAGTTTGTCAACGAATCAAACCATGCAGACAAAAGCCCATGGGGCTACTCACACCCCTTCCCATTCCCGAAGGTCCCGGGGAGTGCGTCTCCATCGACTTCACCGACTTGGGAAAGGTATGTAAGAACGGCTACTCACAAGTCATGGTGATTGTTGACCGATTCTCTAAGTTCCTTCATCTGATTCCTTTGCCACCTCATGCTCCAACAGAACTAGTGATCCATGAGTTCCAACAGAAGTACATTCTGCAGTTCGGAACCTCGAAGACTCTTGTGAGCGATCGGGATCCGCGCTTCATTAGTACTGAATGGTAGGACTTCACGTCTCAACTAGGGATCAGATTGTGTATGACATCTGGCCGACACCCCGAAGCCAATGGTTTGGATGAGGAGATCAACCAGACTGTTTCAACTTCTCCGCGCCTTGATTATTCTGGATCAGGAAACATGGGACAAAGAGCTGTATTTCGTTAAGGGGTTGTACAACAACTCCGTCCATTCCGCCACCGGCATGACATCCAACAGGTTGCATTACGGTTGGCAGATCCGTAATCCGCTCTCCTACCTATTCCCTGAAGAGCCAGCTGGCTTAACACCCGGCAGGCCTGGCTTCATGGCCAAGTATGATCGCTTGCTCAAAGTTGCCATTGCAGGAATGACCAAGCGACAACACGCCATGATCCATCATGCGAACAAAAGGCGCCGACCATCGGATATTCAGGTAGGAAGCTATGTCTGGGTCAAGATGTCTGAATTTTCAGAAGAAGAGGGAGTCTCTCGCAAACTTCTCCCACTCTACTATGGTCCGTGGGAAGTTTGGCGTCGACCGTCGAATATTCAGGTAGGAAGCTATGTCTGGGTCAAGATGTCTGAATTTTCAGAAGAAGAGGGAGTCTCTCGCAAACTTCTCCCACTCTACTACCGTCCATGGGAAGTTTTGGATGTGATTGGCGAAGACCACTTTGGCCCTTCGTACGTAGTTGATGTGCCAGCCCATCTGCGCACATACCCCGTGTTCCATGCATCAAAACTGTACCTCCACCGTGATGCTAAGACGTTCGATTATCGCGAAGACATGACCCCTCGTGCAATCAAAGGCGGGCATCAGATAGATAGAATTAAACAGCACGTAGGGAAGGGACGCAACAGACAGTACCAGGTTCACTTCATGTATCCCCCATTGGACGATCTGTACTGGATTTCCAAGCAGGAACTGCTACGCATCGCACCACGTGTTGTTAAAGCCTATGAGCGACAAATTTCAGCTAACGCTATTCCTAAGATCTTGCAAGGCTTACTACGACGGAGTATTCTAGGAACCTCTTTGCCTTGCTTGCTTACGATGCGTTTGTCGAGGACTCGTCGAAGGGACCTCGCTCTTGAGGGGGGGGTAGTGTGATGACCCGTCCTAACATGGACTGGAACACACGACATATTTCTGAGTTTTGCCCATAGACTGGATGCCTTGCTGAGTTTCCCGCCTGCTACTAAGTCTGTGTGTGCACACTGGCTGGACTGCACGTCTGTCTGAGTGCTGGTTGGCTTGAGTGTGTGTGTGGTCGTGCCTGTCTGAGTGCTGGTTGGCTTGAGTGTGTGTGTGGCCCGCAAGGGCACTTGCTCGTTCATTAGGCCCTCAGGGCTGGTACTTACCTGTGGCCGTGACATTGAGGGATTGCAGCAGGAAAAACACTCAAGTAGCGGGTAGGCCGATACCGCACCCTGAAGGGGTAGATGTGCGGGTACTGGAGGCTGAGCAGAAGAAGACAAAAGTGGCATTTTTGGAGACCCGGTAGTTGTAGGTTAGGTCTAGGCGGATGCCAGTACAACCAGTCTGGGTCTAGGGCCTGTACAGGCAATATCAGAGTCTGCAGTGATGTTTCCCTCCGAAAGGGAGGAGGTACCGGTTGCTTGGAAGGCCGAGCGGCCTGGAAGTCACCGCCCGAAGGGGCAAGCAGGCCACTATATCTCCCAGTCGTGCGAAGAGCCTGGCCTCTTTCTCGGTGTGCAAGTTTGGCGACACACTGGTTGGAGCACCGGTTGGAGCAGCGCCATGCAAGAGCAGCGCTGCTGGGGGAAGGAGAAGGACACGGAGGAGGACGAATGACAGGAAAGGGGAGGAGTGCCATGGGTACTTACATGGCTATGGTGGCAGCCGTCTTCATCACCTTGGTGGGCGCTGCAGCAGGGAGTCCCCAACTAGGGAGAGCCACACCAAGACGCTTCAAGGCAGAATTGGGCATGGCGGCCTGAGTGAAGCAGCCGTAGCTGCTTTGGGTTGTCCTTTGGTGAACGGTATTCACCTGCTACCAGTAGCGAATGCAGATCCCAGGGCTCGGTCCGTAGACTTTACCTTACCTGTGTACATTACCTGCGTCGACCCCGAGAGTTGAACCCGTGACCTGTGTATTCGTAACAGTTGGTAGGTCCGTAGGTTGTAGGGGTTCGATCTGTAGACCTGTCGGATAGAGGTCTTAGGGAGTTCTAGAAGTCATAGCTGCTAGTCCTGAAAGGTCAAGGTTGTAGCTGCTACAGTATTCGAAAGGCCAGGACTACCGACTTCCGGAAGGTCCTAGTAGTGGCCTTTCGAAGTTGGCTCACGTCTAGACAGAGGCAAGTGGACAAGTGGTGGAGTCCACCCTTGCTGAGTCAGCAGTACCAGTTCCAGTCAGTCCTAGTCCAGTCAAGCACGTATCGTATAGGACTGTGTGCACGACGGGCATGGGAAAGGAGCAGACCAACGAGTTACAAAAGTATAAATCAAGAGGCAGCGCCCAGCCATTCATTCATTCCTGCTTAAGCCATGCGGAAGCGCTGCTACAACGACTTGTGCGAGGTGGTTTGCAGTATGCCCGAAGACGAAGTGGGCGAGAAGGAGAGCTTAGCCATAGCGGTAGAGGTAGTAGTGGCCATAGCTGCCATAGCTGGAAGAAGGATGTAGTGTATGTGTGCGTGTGTGTACAGTGTGTCTCGTGTGGGATATTCAGGGTGATCCTAAGTTGAGTGTGTGTGAACAGCAGAGTACGGCGCAGTGACGAATAGAGAGTTGTACAGGCGTTGACGTGCCATAGCCATCTGAAGCGAGCTTGTATCTTAACTGTGTTCTGGGTTACCATATCTCTGAGCTTCGAGTTGGCGCTTGTCGCTGGTTTGTTGTGCGACTTGTTTGCATGCATGTGAAGTGTGAAAGTAAGCGAGTCTGATTGCATTGGTATGGGAGTAGGTACCCGCTATTCCACACGCCATCGTCGTTGTCGCAGGGAGGGGAGACGCTCCAGGTAGGGCGCTATAGCTGAAGTGCGCTGCCGTTGGAGACGAAGTCCGCCATAGCTGCACTGCGGAGGAGATTGTCGCCGTCTGTACCTGCAAGAAGACAACGACGCGAGAGAGAGAGAGAGAGAGAGAGAGAGAGAGAGAGAGAGAGAGAGAGAGAGAGAGAGAGAGAGAGAGAAGATTGGTCTCTCACGTACCTGCGCTGAAAACCTCGCCAGAGAGAGAGAGAGAGAGAGAGAGAGAGAGAGAGAAGATTGGTCTATCACGTACCTGCTCTGAAAACCTCGCCAGAGAGAGAGAGAGAGAGAGAGAGAAGATTGGTCTATCACGTACCTGCGCTGAAGACCTCGCCAGAGAGAGAGAGAGAGAGAAGATTGATTGTCACGTATTTGTTGCAGAGCGTTGTGCGGTCCAACGAAGTGGTGGCCATAGCCGTCGAGCTCAGCGACGGAGTAACGAAGGAGATTGTGAGCAGAGAGACGGAGAGGGAGAGGCCGAGCGAAGTAGGGAAGCCATAGCCGTGGAAGGCGAAGGGAGAGACGAACAAAAAAAAA